TCAAGAGGATGACAAACACTTGAAATACTTTAAATCCCATTCTGAAGAATTTTTGTTTGGTTGGTTGGTTGGTTTGATACATGGTCTTACTGTATCACTCAGGCTGGCTTTGACCATGTGGCAATTTCCCTGCTCCTGCCTCCTGTGGACCAAGGAGTGTAGAAACCATGCATGGTTTTTCCCTGAAGCATCCTTGTTTTTGTTTTAGGGATCCTATGGTTTTATGTTGAATTTTCTAATATGTTTATTCTTTTGTTTAAGGATAAGTATGTCCATAAACACTTTTTTATTCAAGGAGTTATGGGACTAGGTCCAAATGAAGCCATGGAACCAACATATTGTGCATGTGAATACCAAGTAATGGTGGTGGGAGGGGCTTCCTTCAGGCACTGCCATGCACTCAGCTTGGCAACAGACACAGGTATCATCAGGGCAGGTAGAGGATGTACCTGGACATTGGCTACACCCATCTTTGAAAGACTGACTGAGAGTGCTAACAGCTGAAAGAGGGGCAAAGTCTGTCTAACCATAGCTTGTTCTTTGTAGTTGATAGGGGTGGGTTAAAGTTCTATAAAATCTAAGCATATATTTGATCCTTGTATTTGTCCATTCTCCCTTATTTGTCATAAAAAGATTCAAGGAACCATGGGGTCTGGTAAGAAAGGGAAAAAAAAAGACGGAGTGATCAAAAGTTGCGTGTGTTTTTCATGCAGGATTTTTATGACTCCCTTTATCAGAAGAAATTTTAGCTTTTTGATTTTATTTTTCCCAGAAGATCATGCTGTAATCCATGAAAATCCATTTTATTAGCTTTAATCATTGATCACTAAATGCTGCAAGGGCTTCCTGGCCTATTCGGAATCAGGAGAATAAGCTTTGGACTGTTTTATTCTCGTTTATACTTTAGCACGTATATTGTAAGAGAAAGCTTGCAAAAGGTCACAAGTAAGTTCCCAAAGTAAAGCCCAGGCCAACAGGCTCCTCTGGAAAACTGAAAAGAATAGAGTGCTGGGCACCAAGAAGAAAAAGCACTGTCTTTTCACGCATTGATCACTGTTAATAACCGTGGTGAAATACACGAGGACGGGAACACAAAGGATGAACAGATAATCTGGGGCTCAGTTTCAGGGGTTTTGATTAATGACAGTTTAGCCTGGTGCCTTTTATACCTCTTATGAGACAGTACATTCTAGTAAAAGTTTGTGGCAAAGCTTACCTCTTGGTGGCAAGGAAACAGTAGTCTTCAAAAGTATGCATCAGTGACCCACCTCTTCCAATAAAGCCCTGCCTCCTTAAACTTCTATCATCTTCCTATGGAACCACAGCTGAGGATCAAACTGTCACATGGACATTTGTGTAACATTTCAGGTACAAACCATCACACTATGTGGGATGACTTCTGAGTTTACTGAGAAAAACGTATCATCTGTCTTTAATATATATATATATATAATTTAATATGTATATATATCCTCTATTTGCAAGATATTCATCTGCCTTGCCTTTCCTTTTATTGAGAGAGATTGGGGCTTATACTTATCATCTATTTATCTATCTTTCCACCCACCCATACACTCATTTATCCATCATCCATTCACCCATCCACCAAGCCACCCACCCATCCATCCAGCAAGCCACCCACCCACCATCCATCCATCCATCCATCCATCCATCCACCCACCATCGATCGATCGATCGATCGATCCATCCAGCCAGCCAGCCAGCCAGCCAGCCAGCCACACACCCATCCATCCATGCATGCATGCATCCATCCACCCACCAAGTCACCCACCCATCCATCCACCGACTCTCCCACCCAGCCATCATCTATCTACTGATCAATCTTTACAAAGTCACATACACACATGGTTATATAAACACACTTATACATGCACATTCTATTTGAAGCCAAAACCAGTTAAACATTATATTATCTAATATAATAAATATGTGGACACACACTCACACAGTTCCATCCATACACACTCACACAAATACTTTTTTTTTTTTTTTTTTTTGGTTTTTCGAGACAGGGTTTCTCTGTGGCTTTGGAGCCTGTCCTGGGACTAGCTCTGTAGACCAGGCTGGTCTCGAACTCACAGAGATCCGCCTGCCTCTGCCTCCCGAGTGCTGGGATTAAAGGCGTGCGCCACCATCGCCCGGCTCACACAAATACTTTTACACACAGTTGAACTCATACACTCAGCCGTACTTATACACCTCACTCACACCTATAATACTCTCACACTCTAATACACATACTCTTGATACACACACTCACTCTTACACACTCACATAGACACACACATGCATACATACACTGTCATTCACAGTCATTCAATCACACATACACTTACACACATATACACACACATTCACACATTTACTTCAACAACTGAAATGTGAAGTCTGTGGTCTTCACATGATGTCAAGGTTGGCTTAGATTAGGGGATATTAAATTAGATTAAGGGGACAAATGGTCCTTTCCGGGAGGTGCCAGCTGCCCCCTGGTGTCCTCAGGCTTGAAGTTCAGAGTAGAAGAAGAGTGAAGGCAGCAATCTCCTTTGGGGCTCAGCCCTGCTTTACTATCCACGAGGGACATGCAACTGTCCTCTGCTGGGTGGGTACCCAGGCTCTAGCGGACCATTGACATAGGCTTGAACAGTACGCAGCAGTTGTTAAAAAGAAGGCACGTTTCTTGGACTCTGTCCTTGCTAGGATTTTTGTCAACGTGACCCAAACAAGAGTTGTCTGAGCAGAAAGAAGGAAGATCTGTTTTTTACTTGTGAGTCCTGGCACATGGGGCCACATCAGTCCAGAATCTGCTTCAGACAGTGAGGGAAGATGTAACTGAGGAGGGGAAGCAAACAGCTAGGCATTTCTAACTATAAGAGCTTTGGTTGAATAAATACAGACTGAGTCAAGGCATAGAGAAAATGACTGAGGAAAGATTTGTGGAGACAAAAGTATTTACCAGTGATTTGGAAAATAAAAGCCACAGTTGTGTTAGCCATCCCTTAAGAGGCTTTGTGGGTTAAAGAAGAAGACTCAGTCCTGCTTCAGAACTGCTACTGACCTCTCCATTACTGTGGCAAAGGTCGAGTAAAAAGTTTTCTTCATTTACATGTTTGTGATACTTGCTTGGAAATATTCTGGAAAGGAGAGTGCCATTTTTAGATTCTGAGTACCCAAAGCTATTTTTGAAGATTTTTTTCTTTTTTAGTCTCACATTGCTTTTAGGGGACATGGCTTACCTTACTGGTCTTTTACTTGTATATTATGGTTTCTGATTTTGCATTTTTATAGGTTTTGTGTCTGTGTGTGTGTGTGTGTCCCTGTGAAGATATGTGTATTGTGTGTCAGTGTGTGTGCATGTGTGTGTCCCTGTGAAGATATGTGTGTCTGTTATGTGTGTGTACGTGCATGTGTATGTATTTCTAGTGTTCTTTCCTTGTTTCTTTTTGCTTGTTCATCTTGTTTTAGCCTTGTTTATTTGTCTTTTTTATTGGCCTGTTTGTTTTCTTAAAAGAGAAAAACAACTTGGAGTTGGAAGAGTCAGGAGGTAGGGAATATCTGGGAAGAGATAAGGGAGGGGAAATAGTGACCAGAATATGTTATATTTAAAAACCATTTATTTTCAATAAAAATATAATAAAAAAATTCTAAGTACTATTCTAAAGATTTTCTGTGGTTGTGTAAACACATTTAGTATCATGAACCAAAATTTTTGAAGAAATGACTTACTTTCAGACTTACTTGACAAGCTAGAGATGGGCTTGTCAAGGTGCCAACCATTTGTTCCATAGGGCATAGTTTTCCCCTAAATATTAAGCCATTGGATGTGCTAATTTCCTGGTTGTTTAAACATCTTTCCCACCCCTCTCCACTTACTTGCACAACCATAGACCAGGCCCTGTGGTCATGATGTCTGTAATTTCGTATTTGAAACAACTTACAAGGAGATGTTCTGAGTCCTGAAAGCCCAGTGGCACACAGCATTGGCCACTGAAGTGTTCCTTGGATCTCTGGCAAGCAGTTCCATGGAAATCAATGCCCCAGAATTTACACACAGCTGTCTCTAGCTTAAAGTTCTTCAGAGGAAAAAGTAAGAGCAGTTCTCCCTGCAGTGAGGCCCATGCTGTGTGCTTGCCAAATGGTATCCATAGATGCTGCATTCTCACATGTCCAGGGGCGTCCCTCCCCAACAGTGTCTACCTGGCCTATTATCATTGCTGCTCTATGCTTTTCCTTGTGGACTTTGAGCCTTGCTGTGACCCACAGCCTGTGGGATGAAATGAGTTTTGTCTCTGGCACTCACTTGGCAGTGGCAGCTTGCTAGACCATCATCTTCTTTCCATCTGAGAGTGAGTCTTCCTGCAAACTTGTTCTTTAGAAAACAGCAAATATGCCTAAGGAACTAAATCATGTGTGCAAAGACAACACGTATTTTAGACATGAAGAAGTATAGAATAGATGTATTCTTTGGGAAAATCCACATTAAATAAAATTAAAACGCCTTATTGGGTATTAGGCTTTCAGCCGTTGTATTTTGTGTTTTGATGGGAACTGTGAAGATTTAAATATATAATGAAATTAAAAATCGTCACAGGCATCCGGTGCTGGACATACCTGTGTTGTTATTATCTTCTTGGTTTCATAGGTAAACTAAGATGCCTAGCGGGTAAGAGATACAGACATCCCACACTAAAGAACATTCACTAACAGAGTAGGTGTTTTGTACAAAATGACTCTGTGACATTTGTTCTGCATTGTGTGACCCACTTAATAGTGAACGTGCTGTTGGCTTTAGCAGAATGTGGGATCACTTTGCCTTTCTGAACCTCACAGCCCTCGTATTCGTTGCTTTCTCAAGTGTCTCTCATTTAATTGGTTAACCCTATTGAGTGAGACTTACCAGCTTCCCTGAAGGCTGTAAGGTGGCTTTCTCAGGCACAGAAACGTCTAGACAGATATTAAGAAAACCAAAACAAACATTAGGCTGAGACATAATTGAGATTTAATTGCAACCATCTATCTAATATATATATTTACATTTCATTATACTTATATTATTTTAAATAATATATCTATATTTAAATACATATATTTAACAGAATTTCACCCAAGACTGTCTAAGAACTACTGTATTTTTTTTGTTCTCCAATTGACCATTGTTCTCTAAACAAACAAACCACCAAATTCTCAAGAATTTAAATTTAGAGATCTTCAAACCATTATTATATGGTATTGAGAACCAGACCTAAAAAATCATGGTTAGGATCCAAGACAAACTTGACAACATGATTCAGACTTCACAAAAATGTAGCTATGAGATGTGGAGATGGTTCAGTTATTAAAGGACTTGCTTTGGGAGTGTGGAGACCTGGGTCTGGACCCTGGAACCAATGTAAGCAGCTGGGTATGGCGGCACATGCCTGTAATCCTAGCAAAGACGAGATGGGAGGGAGAGTCAGGTGGGTCCTTGGGAGCTCTCTTGGCCTATATGGTGGTGTTCCAGGCCAATGAGAGATCTTATCTCAAACAGAAAGGTGGAAGGTACCTGTCATGGTTTCATGGTAAAATGTTCCCCAGACCTCATGTGACTGATCGTGTTATCTACAGATAGTAGGTTGATCATGCTATCTGTAGCTGGTAGTGCTCTTGGGGAAGGTTGTGGGATCTTCAAAGGGTGGAACCTTGAGGCCACTGGTGGCAGGCCTTTGTTAGAGAATATTATTTTAAGGTGTGTTACTTTTGTTTATTTTGCATTTGTTTAACTCTGAGAAGCTATGTTACTGTGCCTGTCTAAAACACCTGATAAAGAGCTGATGACTAATAGCAAGGCAGGAGAGAGAAATAGGCTGGCAGGAAGAAAGGATAAATATGAGGAGAAATCTGAGAAAGGAAATTTGGGAATGAGAGGAGGATAAGGACTTCAGGGGCCAGCCACCCAGTCACCCAGCCACCCAGCTACACAGCCAGACATGGAATAAGAAGGTAAGAAAAGTTATACAGGAATAGAGAAAGATAAAAGCCCTGTGGCCAAAGATAGAAGAGATAATTTAAGAAAAACTGACAATAAACAAGCCAAACTAAGCTGACATTCATAACTAAAAATAAACCTTTGTGTATGATTTATTTGGGAGCTGGGTGTGCCTCCCCCCCACAAAGCCAAAAGAGTAATAAGAGTAAAATATCTAACAACGGGCCTTGATGCTTTATAGTTTGGCTCCACTTCCTGTTCTAACTTTGAGTGTGGATGCAGTATGAAAAGCAAGGTGCCTGATGAGTTCCCTGCTGACTGATACATCTTCCCTGACAGATGGACTCTGTCCTTCTGAAATGGTAAGCCAACATAAGCCCTTTCTCTTTCAAATTGTTTTTGCTGAGGTATTTTATCATAGCAAAGAGAAAAGTAACTAAGATAGTGCCTGAGGACTAACACCAGAGGTTGTCCTCTGAGCTTCACATGAGTGTAACCATACCCTATGTGTAGTATGGAGTGGCAGGCTATGCTCCCGCCTGGATCCCGCATAGCTAGCTTAGCCCCGGAAATAATAACACACAAATTGTATTCTTTTAAACACTGCTCTAGCCTCTTACTGGCTAGCTCTGACATCTTGATTAACCCATTTCTAATAATCTGTGTAGCACCACGAGGTCGTGGCTTACCGGGATGCATCCTAGCCTGCTTCCATCTCGGAAAGGGGAGCTATGGTGACTGCCTGACTCGGCTTCTTTCTCCCAGCATTCTGTTCAGTCTACTCCACCTACCTAAATTTTGTCCTATTAAAGGGCCAAGGCAGTCTCTTTATTTAACCAATGAAATCAACACAAAACAGAAGACTCTCCCACATCACCTATGGATGCACACACACACACACACACACACACACACACACACACACACACCTATGACAGAACAGAAACCAAGGGCTGTAGGTAGGGCTACAGTCTGTTGCCAATGTGGAGAAACTAAAATTAATGAAAATCCTCCGGGGAGCTGGATGGTTTAGAAATTAATTTGTTCTTGCAGAAAACCTGAGTTTGATTCACAAGTGCCTGCAACTATAGCCTGCTTCTCCTGACTACCATGGGCACTTGCACGTAAGGGGCATTACACACACACACACACACACACACACACACACATACACACACACACAAACACACACTTTAAAAATCTTAAGCCACCCTCCAATCACAACTTTGCAAGGCTGATGGCAGAATCTAAATAAACCAAACACTCTCTTGTCATGTGACCCACCATCATGGCTTCATGTTTTACCCAAGAATATAAATGATATGTCCACACAAAAACTTGGACATTAGACAATTACAGCAGCTCTTTTCATAGCTGCCCAAATTTGGAAGTTGCCAACATGTTTTTCAGCAGGTGAAGGTCTGCCTGTGAGAAGAAAACTTTAAATCTTCCTTTTTCCTTTATAGCCTCTCAGAAAGTAGACTATAAATGAAAAACTTTGAAAACTTCACTTTTATTCTTACTTTTTTTCTCAAGGGAGACAGAAAAGGGAAAGTGTAACACAAACCATTGTTCCTGGAAAGGAAGGAAGGAGGGAATATATAAAGGTGGGAGATGAAGTGAAGAGACAAGTATGGAGTAGTGGGGGGAGATTAGTCAGGAGTGGGAGGGAGAGAGATTAGGTTGGATCTGAAAGAGCGGCATGTTATTTAACTGAGAACCCTGAAGCCTGGCCAAGGTGCTGCGTTTACAAAGCCCAACTCATACAGACTTCAGAACTGCTGTAAACACGGAATAGCATGGAACTCAAACAGGAGTTTCCTGTGAGCGCCCCCCTGTTGCTCACCCAGGCCTTCAGAAGTGAGTGACCTGATCACCCAGGTCTGCAGATGGGCCTTGAGCAACTCCTGTTTTCTTAACATGACTTGGCGCAGAGTTGTAAACCTTGGCTCAGGAGGTCTGGTTTTGCAGTGACCTGCCAAAGAGCCTCACAACTTAGTGCTGGGCACACACTTCGTTGAGGAGCACCGTGAGCCAAATTGGCCTTGGCTCTGCAGAAATGAATGATTCTAAGTTACCAGAGGAAAAAGGAAAAAAAGGGTGCCTTCGTTCTGATCATGCAAGTAAAGTTAACTAAAACGGACCAGTTTCCACGTCTCCCATAAGGAAAACAGCAACTGTAGATGTGAGACATATACCTCAAGCCCCAAATTCTGCATAACACTACGATGTTCCTTCCCATTTTTATTTTCATTTTCTTTTTCTGCTTTAGTCTTTTCTTCAAAATAATCATGCCTAAATTATGTTTACGCTGCCTTCAGCCTGGCTGTGTACCAGTTATCCTGAGAAATTCTAAAGTCAGAATACATTAATCCCAGAATCTGAATCTTCGTCGCATATTCATTCCTCGTGTTTTGGCTAAATTGCCCCATGTCATTGGATTTATTGGTGGCAAGGTTATTTTCCAGTTGTCAAATAACTTTTTTTAATCCCTATTTAAGAGTCAGAAATAGAAACAGTCACTCATAAAGGAAGTGAATAATTTGGAACATGAACAACATAAGTATTTATTTGAAAAAATCATTTTCCATTTCAGTTAAAATGGCAAATCAGCGTTAGCAGTTTCTCACTGCTAATTCTAGTTTGCCCTCACAGTTGCTTCTTTCCATAATATTCAAAGATACCGCTACAGAAACCTGTTTCACAACTTTTCTAGAAAAAATACAGTCTCTCTACTAGGAAGTTCATTAAAACAATAAAGCTGGGCAATAGGAAGCTAATGTATTGAACAAAACTGACGTGGACACAAATAAATAACTATGTACAGGAGAGACATTGCCAATGACAAGGAAAATCTTTACACCGCAGGAACCAGTGACAAGAACGGAGATTGTCTCAGGACCCTAGACCAAAGCTCTAATGCAGTGCAGGGAAGAGAGAGGGCGGGGAGTGAGTAACCAGAGTTGGAACTGGTACTGTCTTACAGGCGGGTGGAGGCCGGAGTCTGGCCCTCCAGTGGAATTCCTGCCCAGTCTTCTAAGGGGCCAAATGCACATGAAGCCACATACTTGGAACTGAAGGTAGAATTTGGTTCAGGCTTTGAAATCCACTTGCACCTATTTCTAGTCTGGTGTTTCTTCTTCTTCATCAAACATTTTTCAAGTGGAGCTGACATTCTTGCCAAATATGAAAAAATTAAAAAAGGTTTCTCTCTGATCTGAATACTTGTAAGTGAAACTCAAAAGCAAAGGCATTTTTGAAGCTATGTCATAACTTTTATTAACTAAACATGCACTTTGTGCAGAAGTCTCACAGTAGAAACCTAATGAAAATCTATCGTGATTTTCCTAAGTTTTGGGGAGAAGGTGAATATTTCGTGACTAGCAAACTTAGATTTCACCTGTGTATGTATCCTCTGGCACAGTGAGCAGCCTGTTGATACAAACCACAAGCAAAGGGCTGGCTCTAGTGCAGTGAATCTTAGTGACCTTACGATGTACTGTCGACTCCTCCTAAATGGCCTCCTCCTCTGGGAAAGCCAGGCCTAACAACATTCACGTCCACCAATGCCAGTCCAGGCTGTTAGACCAGCAACAACAACCCACCACTACATTCTATCATCTTTGGCAGCCTGGCAAACAGTTTCATGATTGACACTTGGTGAGAGGAGAGGACCCTTCAGCTGTTGCAGAGCCTGCAAGGTCCTGTATATATATATTATATATCTTAGCCAAGCACGACCTGCTTTCTGCACAGAGGTTCAGGTCTGGCCTCTGCCCTCCGACTAACTCTGCTACACTCTCCCCCTTTGTCGCCCCTGTGCCACTGGCCTGCCAAACCCGCAACATGGCAGAGAACCCTGAGCAAGGCTAACACAAGCATGTACTGAGGCCAGCGGAAAGGATTCCATCACTTGAGAGCAACCTATACCCTCCTTAGCAAGGACACCTTGTTTAGCGTCCTTTTGGAGTTAAGGGAGCTGCTGAATGCTTTGCGTGACTTGCATGCTGCAGTCTGATCCATAAACATCACACCACAGAGTAGTATATCGCACCAGCCCTCCTTAGACACTCTGATTGCAGGACTCAGTGCAAATAGTTCTTAGACTAGCTGTTGTAGATCTACATATTTCTAAGTTATTTTGATGAACCAAGACAGCTGTATGTCTCACTGTTTGTTCTTTAGAAGAAAATTATCACTGGGGGAAGTCAGAGGTCTCTGAGTGTATGGGATCTGAAATGTCTTAAAATCATTAAAGCAGGGATAGGCTCACATAGTCTCAAAAGTGTGTTCTCTCAGTGGTGAGAGGTCATGGCATACAGGGTGCTTAACTGGAATTCTCATTCTTCTCTTGAACCTGTGGGCCCAATGAAGAGTGAAGGAGGACCCGAGAGGGGGTGAGGGAAGGTAAACCTATTTGTTCTTAACTCCCAGGAGGCCCACTTTATGCCAAGGGCACATTCAGCTGGATTCACGTGTGGGGGACGATGGTGATGCTTAAGCTCTATGACTTGAGATACTAGAAATTTATACAGCATATTAATGAGATCAAATTTCTGAAATACTCTTTTAGCAAATTATTTTCATGAAAGTTAAATATTTGACATAATGGAAAAAATCACATTTAATATTATATGGGTCAAATATTAAACATCTTTTCTACTTACGTTGAAAATTTCACTGGAAAAAAAAAAGAAAGAAATGCTGCTATATTCATAGAAAATAGCATTGGAACAGAACCCGTGAGCATCCCAAATCACTACAAACATTAATTAGTGTGCTTTCTACTTAGTCTTCATGAAAGTCAGGCCACATCCAAGCATCTTACATCCAGGTAAGATGGTGTAGATGAGATTGCAACTAGAATTCACTCCCGTGTTTCTTCCTCTTGTATCTTTTGATTTTAATGACCTTTCCCTCAAATTCTGACGAGTTTGATTGAGTTACTCATTCTAAGAAGTCCTGTCTCCTTGCGGTGTTCAGCGTGCTTTCAGTTCTGAAGTGTGATGATTGAAGCTTGTCCACAGAAAAAATATTCTGAAAAGATGAATGCTGGATCCCACAAGAGCTTCTCTAAAAGATCCAGTCCTCAAGGCTCCGCAGTTACCTAGGGAACAGCACGCTGCCTTCTGTTGGGCACAGCTTTCTCTGCTTGTAAAGGTTTACACTTCTCCAGACAGATTCTTTCCCCCCCCCCCCCATACATTAAAACTTTGTACTGTGGCTGAATGTATCTGAAAGGATAATATTTTTATAGAAGTTATCTGAATGAGCATTACAGTAACCTTTGACCTTATCAATAACCTGATGGACAGGGATGATTGACGTCTGCTCTCCACCAGTATGGGTCAGTTTTGACAACGACTTGTCCATGGAACTGCTGTCTGTAGGAAAGGATACAAGAGATTCAGTTGCAGGATGAGCAAGTGACAAGGCTGAGCCATGACATTCAATAAGCACACCAAGGAGTGGGTGCCCTGGGCTCCCTGACAGGTTAGGGAATAGGCAGCCCTCAAATACAATCCCCCTTCAAATGCACTTTTAATAGTCTTGAATATCAACTTACTTTCAAGTAATTTCTGTCATGGCTTGTTACAACAAAATATTCCCTCAAATGCTGTTTTTCAGAGTTAACGAATAAAAGAGTTGAACTTTTTTTTTTCCGAAAATATATGCACCAAATGGCCCCAAAGTCAGAAATGATTTAAACATTGAATTAAAATAGGTTGAAATAATCATGAAAAAAGATGTGATATCTGAGATATGTTTTACAAATAATATGGAGTAGGGAAAAATGAAAATATAGCTACCTCCGAGTTGACACTTGCAGAGAGACTCACTGCACTCTGCTTGATATGGAAATTTGACAGTGCCAAAAAACTTTTTGGCAAAATTTAGTTGAAGTGGTTTTGGAGGATAAATGTGAATTTAAGTAAATGCGAAAGACTACTGAGTGCATTTCCTTGTGATTGCTAGTTGTGAGATGAATGGAAGAGAACAGAAACATTATTGTTATAAAATCAAAATTCTCCTCACTGGAAATATTCCAGAAGCAATAATATCAGAGATATCAATAGCAATTGAGGAACCCTCAATAAACGTTTAGAATTTTTCTGTCTTAGATAAGTATATTCTAGTTTTCTCCAGATTCAGAATCTCTAAAATTGGTTCAGGTAATGCTCTGAAAGCTGAAATTCATACCACTCTTATTATCTATGTAAACATTTGTGTTTCTATGAATATAATCAGCATCTCTCTTCCCACTCCTGGTACACTTTGGGAAAAGTTTTACCCATCTGATTAACCAAAGTACAGACTTCAGAGTGATGATAGAGGAAAAACATGGCTCCATTATAGTCATATAGTCAGCAAGAAAATGCTGCCCCCAAACACTGATGTCAGTAGCCAGAGTTTCCTCCAAAATTGCAGTATTTATGGCAAGCCTTTTATGTTTTGAGTAAAATGGACCCCCATATGTGAAATGATCTTTAAACACATCAGTAAGTGACCAAAGTCAAAGTCATCTTCATGGTATCTGCTGCTCCATTACTGTTCTGTCTTAGGACAAACACCAAGTCAAAAGTGGTCTAAAATGGGAAATGGGTGGTGTCTTCCCTTACTAAAGGAGAAGGAGAGATGATTCATGGGAAGATGGGCAGATGGAATGACAGAATGACTGAAGCAAGTCCTAGCACTGATTAGAAAAAGCCTGGAAGGCCGCAGATAAGGTCCTGCCCATGAAGCTCTCAGCAAGCTGACTGATTTTGTGCTTCCTTTGGGTTCCCAGATTCTCTAGCCACTGGTTTTCTGTTGAGGATTTTTTTTCTTAAACATAAATAAGAAATAATCTGTGCTTGACTTTTTTTTTAATCAAACCACAGATCCTTAGAGAAATGTTGAGAATGCATCCATTCTTCCTGGACAGTTTCCAAGGGCATGTATTTTTAGAGACTGTAACTGGCCCCATTCCAAATACACGATTGCACTGGATGGCTCTCCATACTCTACTAGAGTAGAAGTCTGTGTTTATGTATCCAACACATCATATTCATACACAGTGTCCCATGGCTTCTGGCTAAATATCACATTATGAGTAGCAAAGATTTAGATTGTATATCTGAAAATCAGGGGCTAGAGATATGAACCATTATTTGACATCTACTGAAGGCTCAAGCAGATCAAAATAATCACCACAAAGCAGCTTGCCATTGACCAATTTCTCATTCAGGACTTCTACGAATGTACCATGGCACATCCAGTAATCCAAAAGATATTGAAAAGTAAAAAAAGAAAAAAAGTCATATCATAACAAAAAGTTTATTATGTACTTCTTTTTTTTTCTGTCATTATATTACATGATATGTGACCCATTCTTCTGGAGCATGAGACAGATGGTACATTGCTTAGAAGGCACGGCTTGCACACCCCATGCAGAGAAGAGCTGGCACAGCCCACTACGGAAATGTCAGATTCCAGCTCAGTGCAGGAGTACCATTGTGCTAGCTGCAAAGTTCTGTAAAGAGTAAGCCATGGCGCTGGTGCAGCAAGACCCTTAGCTTAGTCCATGCAGACATTCTCATTACCTTGTACAAATTCATGCATCCAAGAGGAGCAGTATAAATTACCTGAATATTCCACTTTTGCTGAAGGGATTCTCTTAGGAGCAATTATCTACACCATAAACATACGAATATCTAGATCAGTTCCAAGAAATAAACCAACTATGTATTTCTGAGGTATTTCGGCCGCTTTCGGCACACCCCAAGCCATCCTCAGTAGGCAGCCATCCCACTAACAACTGGCAGGGCTTAGACTTGCAAATAAACTATAACTCGAGTGTTTGCAACACGGGCAAGTATAGACACTTCACATATCCTACTCCTCCTTTAGAAAAATGTCAAATACTAGTCTGTCCAGTGCCACACACCTCTGCTCATGGGTAATAACTAAGTGGAGTAAACATTTTAAACGTATTTCTTTAGGAATGCAGTGTGGGCCAAGACACTACAGCTGTCTGTCAAGGGTTAATTAGTATTGAGAACTAGACAACCTATCCATTTCTCTTTGAAGTTACAAGTTTAAACCTGTCACATAGTTCGCCATCAACCTCAAGTACTGCAAAAGGTTATTTCCCGGTTGTTGGCAGGATTATTTGGGTATATGCTAGGGTCAGAACATGCAGCCACAGTAGCTGCACTGAACAAGCAGGACACAAACCAAAGTGACATTTCTGACAGTCCTTATTTTAAATTTAAAATTTACAACGATGCTGAATGAAGTCTCTAGGTGGATTGTTCAGTTCATGGGAATCTACAACCACCCTCTAGCAGCGATGCCCAGTCAGCATAAGTCAGTTTTCTGAGGGAAAGAACCAGGGGGAAGCTTTACATTGCCAGGGATGACTCACATGAGTGACTGTTTCTTTTGAAATAGGTGGTGGAGCTGGATTTTGATTTGGATGTGAGGTATGTTGAGTTGGAGCCAATGGAACTTGAAGATAAAGATTTCCCCAGGTTATCGGAGCTCTTCTTGATGATATTGGTAGCTGTCTTGCTCCAATCTGAAAGAACGAAGGAGAAGACTTTATTAGTTGGCTTATAGAAAATACAAGCTGTCCCAGAAATCCATCACTGTGTCATTTAATCTATCAAGAGCAGCCAGTTTCCCAGTACACACAGCGACTTAAGAGATACTGACATGGAAATTGCAAGAGCCTGGGGACAGAGAACTGTCTCGTTCTGACCCCCATGCAGAGGGCATTTCGTCTCCCACTTCAATATCCTATAGGTGAGAAATATTTGCAGATGTCTAAAAAGTTAGTGGCATTTTCCTTCAAATGTTATGCACCCTGAAAACAGTCTCTTCACCTAAAATTCAACCGAGAGTCTAATACCATGGCAAGGTGGGTCTACTGTAGTGGAACCTGCAGGCAAATTGTCAAATTAGATGTCAAAACTTGAGCAATTTTTAAACCTCTCCAGGATTCCTATAACGTTCAAAGATGGGGCCCAATACAGAACGTTCCAAGATTCCAACTCGGCATCCTCACATACCCTGTATTGTATCCTCTCAGGGGCCATGGGTTGCTGCTCTGACAGGATAAGGCGGGATGCTCATGGTTTCAGCTGCTTCTCCAAACCCACTTAACCCAGTGCCCTTACCTGAATTGTCTGCTAGCCGAAACCTGCCACAGCACAGATGGCGCCTCCACTGTTTTTGAACATTCTCCTTCATGGCGCAGTGGAAGATAAATATAAATAATCCTATGATAAGAGAATGTGTGAATACTTAAGACAAATGGCACATTTTAAAGGATAAACATTATTAAGTCTATGGAATTATCTTATTTTAGAACTAAGTCACTGAGGGACAAAGATCTTAAGAAATGGAATCATAGTGCATGCAGTAGGCAGTTCAGTCTTCTACAGAAGAACACAGAGACTTGTGTAAATTCAGAATGAGTCCATGGGCTCTGTCTTTGCCTGTTCAGCATCCCTTATGACTTAACTACACTCCTAAGATCCAACAATGCTTTTCATCATTGACTTCGTTCCCATCTCTCCCCAACACAAGATTTCAACCCACACAGCTTCTAAGATGTCTTGCCTTGGCTGAATCTTCTCCATCACAAGCTTCAGATATTGACAGAAGTCATGACTATGACCCCTAACCATGTGAACATTCTTCCGTTTCTCCATGTATAAGGCTTTTTCTCACCAGACACCATCCTGTGATGTGGGAGTGTCATATATCAATCTGTTGATTTCATTGGTTAATTAAAGAAACTGCTTGGCTGGCCTCATAGGTTGGAACATAGGTGGGAGGAACAAACAGAATAGGATGCTGGGCGGAAGAGGAAATGAGGTCAGACTCTGCTCTGCTCCTGGAGAGACGCCATGCTCAGCTCTCCCGGGTAGACCCAAGAGCTCTGCTCTCTGGAGCAGAGACACCACGATGGACTTTGGCTAGAATCTTCCCGGTAAGCGCACCTTGGGATGCTTACACACATCATTAGAAATGGGCTAGTCCAG